TGATTGGCTCTCTGGAAATCCGGTCTACATCGCAATCCAATTTGTAGTATCCGGCCGATCCATCGAACTCCAAAGGGTTGGTGAATTGTTGCACTCTGACCCTTTGATATTGTCATGGTATCTGTTAGTATTTTTGGTTTTGGAAAATACTTGGTTGTATTTCAGAAGAATATTATGTTTTATATGGTTTTCCTTTGTTTTAAATATATTAAGAGAGAAAAGAGTGGGTTTTTGTTTCACATTAAAGAAGTGAGCATGGAATGGGTGATATTTAAGTGGGCATTATCAAACCTTGTGTTCAACAGAGGTTAGAGTGTGGATACTTGTGCGGATCCTAACGCTAGCGTTTGCGTGAGAGCGCAAGGGTGCTTGATGATGCACTTTGCACTTTGCACACTCGCATGTAACTGCTCGCATCCAATAGTTAATAGTTGTTGATGGTAGCTGCCAAAAAACCCAATAGTTACATTGTGCTGTGAAACAATATGTAAATGTTCGCTTCAATAGTGATTGGCTAGCTACTCAGCTCTATGTAATGGGTTATTTTTCCCATTCTTTGTACGTCATTCTCTACATATGATTTTGCATAGTTTTGGCACTAATCCCTTTCTCACTCTACTGATTTTTCTAATTTTTTTTCTCTCTCACTCTCTCTCTCTCACATAGACTATAACACTCTGGTGGTTTTCAATAGACTTCTAGTTCAGGTGCATAGGACTTAGAAGCGCAAAAAAGAGACCTTCTATTATTCTATCCTGAGGATGAATTGCTCTTCTTATGACATCATCTCTAGCATTGAAGAGGGGACATATCAAGAGGAAACAACGCCGTCTTTCGTTTTGGTATTGAATTGTATTTTTATAGTTGTATACTTCATTTTCAACCATGTATTTCACATCTATTATGGTTATATACTCCTTTTTATGTGATTGTAATCGTCAACAAACACTAAAACAGGAAACATTGTATCAATATTTATGTATTTTTATGAAATAATTGAAATTCATTATGCACTGCCCTTATTTTTCTTGAAAACCCAAGAAAAAATTAATAATGATTTTGAGAAATTTTTTGAAAGTTTTTTACGGCCTTATCTAGACCGGTTTTCTGGACAGCATGAAAGCAAATCTCCAAAAGGTTGTAGAAAACTTAAAAGAAAAGACCATGGATTTCACCGTGGCGTTGTATTTAACACGAAGGAGATTGTGGGAGTTCATGACATACTGGCTAGGTCTTTACTGCGGTTGATGAAAAACAATTCTTGAAGATAGAGAAGAACAATAAAAGAGGTACTCTCAATTATCTAGATAGAATCGTGGCATGACTGGACAAACCTTCAAGTAGATGGTAAAAAGAAATTGCTTAAAGATAAGGGAAAATAACAAAGGTAAACTCGTTTTGAGTACACTTTCTTTATTTAGATTAGTCAATCAAAGGTAGTCCTTGCCTGCTAAAATGTCTTATAAGCATTGGTAACTCCACCAAACCCATATTTCAAATAAAAATTGGTGATCTTCAACGATCGAGAGGGAATATAGTATCTCATTGTGTGGCTTCTCTGGGTGATATCATTGGAGTCAGTTTCTCTTTCATACTTTGTAAAGACATTTTTTGGGGTGATCATCGTTAGATGTCATTGATAGGAAATAGACAGCCATGACATATAATCCCACTAGCAAGATGATAGCAAATACCATGTCTAAGCCTATAATTTGAGAGAGAAGTATGGTGTTTGCATTAGGGGATGGGGACTTGGAACTCCTTAATTATTTTCTTATTATGCCAACATCATTGTCTGACTTTTTTTTGTTCATGGATGTCATTTATGGTTGAATTTAACTATTTATTTAAGAGGTTTATGGTATTGTTGTTTGTTTGATACAAATACACATGATTTGATTGTACACTCACACGAGCACCCTAGGATGCATGTTTATTGTGAGATAAATCGTCAGTAGGCTTGGTCTATTTTCTCACACAATATTAACCATCCTCAATGTTTGGGACATTGGAGGATGAGGCATACATGGGGTGTGTGAGTATTGCCTTGATAAGAGATCAGGATGAGATTTCATAGTTGGGAATCACATGATCTCTATAACATCCCACCAGATCATGTAACTTGTATGATAGTGAGATGTGAGCATCAGGGATGGTTAGGTCAGTCGCTTGGGTGTGCAACCTTAGGTACATTGGTTGATGGGATATATAGTTGTGACTAGACTAAGACTTGCATAATGTACATCCTGGTAGTATTTATCATTTACACTATGGTATATGACTTATACCATACGTACTTAGGGAGATCGACATTACTTTATAAAAGAGTATATAAGGTGATCCACATTTTCCAATTACATCGTGCGAGAAATAACCGATAAACGCTGACCTTGAAATTCCTTCACAAGCCATGGACCATATTAGAAAGTTGAGGCTGGAGGTTGGTAGTTTAGCATGCCATCCCCAAGGTCATGTATGATTTGGTTGGGAGGGAGCAGAGCTAGCAAAGCGGTCAAGTCCAAGCAAACAATTGAAGGACTGGGGGAAGACCATTCGCATCAAATAATAATTAGCACCTATATCACTGGTGACCGACATGAAAAGCACTCAGTTGCATTGTAAGCTTAAAGAGTTTTGCAGAGAATATGATTTTGTAAAATATTTTTAAAAAACTATAATATAAATATATTATACACAAATAAATTTCTTGACTTACATGAGAACAATTTTAGTAGATGAGTTGGGCATATGTGCCAAAAAGGGTTGTGCTGTCTCATGAGCTTAGGTAACTTGTAAGGGACTAGTTGAGTTACTCGATTCAGTGTAGCCGTGTGTCTAAGAAAGGATGGAGCATATTTGAATAAGAGAGAAGAGATGTTCGGTGTAAGTTAGGTTGGTTCTCTTCGTAGAGATACATTATTCCTTAAAGTGTCTTGGTGCACTAGTTCTTGCACTTGATGTATCACTAGATGATGATCATGGGACTGACATCTTTTATGCACCCATTAGATTGGTTCTCTTCGTAGAGATACATTATTCTTTAAAGTGTCTTGGTGCACTAGTTCTTGCACTTGATGTATCACTAGATGATGATCATGGGACTGACATCTTTTATGCACCCACTAAAAAATGAGATGTTAGATTTGGATTCCACCCCATATGGGTAGGGACCTCTATACAATTATTAGTATTCTCAGTAGTTAATAGAGAGAAACATCCATGGTATCACTAAACTTATTGACGGTAGAGAAAAAGTAAAAGAGCAACCTATATTATATGGATTTCCAATTAGATGGGACAGATCGGTCCATTCGTCCTTTTATGGATAAGATTCCTTTATGATAAATTTTTATACGAAAAGGTCAAGAGACAAAATAAAGAATTCTCACGGGATTTATATATTTTTTAAAAATAGTTTATCTGTTTACGCTTAAAAGTATCATCTGTTTCTTATCCATTCTAGTTTGTCTTTATAGAAACCCTACAATAAAAAAACCATATTAGTGATTCAAGAGTTTTTGGACTTTCTATCAAAAAGCTCAAGATGTACATTGCATATATAATACTTATAGTTCTAGTAAGTAAAAGTCAACCTAAGATCTCTGGATTCAGAGGAGCTGTTTGCCAAAGGAACAAAAGGATCATATCGACTACAAAAGAAAAATTGATCTTGAAAACGGAATGTAATTTCTATCCAACCATACATTTTTGTATGTCCTCTGCGTTGGGATTCACCAGATAAATCCAACATAACCAAAGTGCGCTTAGAGTCCAAAACTTAAGGAACTTTTAAGATTCTTAAGTTTCCTAAGGTTTAAGCATGAGTTCGGGACCATGTGCGCGCCTGGTGGCTCTCATTCATTCATGTGTAAATGATTCAGGAAAGCTAAAAGGAAACAATTAGATCCTCTGTAACATGTGGCCTGATCCTTGATAGTTTCAAAATCCGTGTAATTTCCAAAGGGATACATGAACTATGTTTTGCCATCTATAGAGCAGGGTGTCGCCTAATTCATCCTAAGGCTTAAATCGCTCAGAGAAAGAGAGAGAGAGAGAGAGAGAGAGAGGTAGGTAGTAGTACGTACTACCTAGTAGTAGTAGTAAAGTAAAGTAGGTAGGTAAGTACGTTACGTAGTAGTACGGACCGTAACGTAACGTACGTACGAACCAACGTAACGTA